AAGTTACAATTCCCAACAGTGCACGCTCCCACGCTAGTCATCTAGCGTGTGCGTCACCACGAAGTAGTGAAACAATGTAAAATTAGAGGTTTCATACTCTCAGGACAAGATTTACAATCATTACTTACCTCAAACCAGACAAAACTCTAACCCGTGATGCCATTGCCTCTCGACTCGGCCTCAAATCACCCCAAATCTATCAAAAATCAGAATCATATCATCAATACATGATAAAGGAACAAACCCCACACGAAAATTATTAAATTAAATCATAATTCCTGAAATTGGCCAAACTCGACCCCCGGGCCCACGTCTCGGAATCCGATAAAAATCACAAAACTAGAATCTTTATCCTCTTACGAGTCCATATAAACCAAATTTACCAAAATCTGACTCTATATGACCCCTCAAACCCTAAATCAAAACTCTCCAAAATCGCAAGCACTAACCCCTTATTTTACCCTTAATAACCACTAATTACATGATTAAACCACAGACAACTACCAAAATCACGAGTATTAAGGCTCAAATTACTCACCTCAGTGAAAACCCCCTTGAATCCCTCTTCAATTTGCTCCCAAAAGCTCCAAATCCGGATGAATAATTGACCAAATTTCACGAAGGGGCCTTTTTATACATTCTTCCCAGCACTTCCGCATCTGTGGCCCAATTCACGCACCTAAGGGACCGCACCCGCGATCTAAACGCCTCATCTACGCATTTCACTTAAATCTTCAGCTTTAGCATCTGCGCCCCAGGCCTCGCACATGCGGGCTCGCAGGTGCGGTTAAATCCTCCGCTCCTGCGACAAATTCCGCATCTGCGGTTGCTTCCCGCGTCTGCGATCATCGCACATGTGGTCCCCACTCCGCAGGTGTGGAAACATTAGAAGAAGCAGCTTCAGCTGCAAAATCCCACTTCCAAACTTCTCCGTTAACCATCTGAAATCATCCCGAGCACCTCAGGGTCTCAACCAAATATACCAATATGTCATATATCAACATATGAACATAGTTGAACCTTCGGAACACTCAAAACAACATCAAAACACCAAATTACCCTCGAATTCAAGCCTAAAAACTTCTAAACTTCCAAATTCTGCAAATGATGCCGAAACATACCAAACCTCGTCTAAATGACTTGAAAGTTTGCACACACGTCAAAAATGACACTATAAACCTACTCCAACTTCCGAAATTCCATTCTGATCCCGATATCAAAATTTTCACTGCCAACCGAAAATTGCCAAATTTTCAATTTTGCCAATTCAAGTCTAATTCCACTACAGACCTCCAAATCACATTCCGGCCACGCTCTTAAGTCCAAAATCTCCTAACGGAGCTAACCGAACCATCAAAATTCACATCCGAGATCGTTTACTAAAAAGTTAAAATTTGGTTAAACCTTTCAAATTTAAATCTTCAAGCTAAAGATCATTTTTTATATCTGTTTTGATTATCCTAAAACCCAAAACAGACGATTATATAAGTCGTAAAGATGGTTGGAGTTTACAAACACCCAACCCCATATGGCAATGCCTGGCATGCTGCTTACCATACTAAGCACATCGTGGCAAGGGCGGCCTCACCTGACTTGACTCACCCTTATATTGAGAACTTGAGGCCCTGAAATTCTGGCCAGCCCCTGAATATGTGGAATGATCAAATCTCTTACCGCTAAACTGAGGGGGCGCACTAGCCAATGGCTGGGCTGGATACCTGGGGTATTGTGGTCTCTGACCACTCGAAACTCACCAGAAGGACTCGAAGACCTCCCTATTTTATTTTAGGCCCTATTATGCTCACGATCGGCCCTCTACTTCTGCTTACGCTCCTCTACACCCTGAGTGTATGCCTGAACACAAGTAATATCCATGTCTGCCTGAAGTGAGACCGACATACAATCGTTAAGCAATTGCGGCTCTAACCCTATCACGAACCGGTGAACCTGATCCTCTATCTTAGATACAATAGTGGGAGTATACCTAGCCAAAGAATCAAACTGAAGATTGTATTCCCGAACACTCATGTTACCCTGCCGAATGGTCAAGAACCTATCAACTCTGGCACGTCTAAGCCCTGGTGGCAGATAATGACGAAGAAAAGCCTCTGTAAACTCCTGCCATAGTTTTTCAATTGTAATTCCTACCTAGCTTGTTTAGAAGCATTCCATAGGAAACCCTTTGTAAACCTTAAACCTGTGTGTTTTTGGTTTGGATAAAGTTAGTCATGTTGGAAAGTTTTTGTAATTGAGTTATTACAAAGTGGCTTGTAATAGAGTATTATAGATTAGTGAAGGATTAAGAGGTTAATTCCTAGGTTGCATAGGTTGTATTAAAGTTGTTCAGTAGTGAAGTTGAAATCCTACAAGGGTAGGTCGTTGTTTTTAATCCCATTGAGCTAGGAATTTTCCACGTAAAATTCCTTTGTCATTATATTTACTGCAGTGTGCGTGTGTACTGTTGAATCTGGTAGAGAACTTGGTTCTCTATAGAGTTTAGTGGATCTTTATATTCTATTAATTGGTATCATAGCGGGTTCTTTCTATCAGGTTAACACCTACAAATGATCCTCATGGTTGTTCCTTCAAACTTCGAAGAAGGCTAGTCTACTTATAGACTTCCAAGGTTCAAGGAAATACTATGGATGGTGGAAAACAAGGATGCACGACTTTATCATGGCTAAAGATTCTGAGCTATGGGATGTTATATGTGACGGACCCTTTGTCCCTACAAAGAACCTTGGTGAATCAGGTGTAGTCATCCCCAAAACTAGGAAGGAATTCAATGACGCTGATAGAAAGGCCATAGAAAAGAACTTTCGTGCCAAGAAAATTCTTGTTTGTAGCATTGGTCCTGATGAATATAACAGGATATCATCATGTTAATCAGCAAAAGAGATATGTGAGGTTCTTCAGACAGCTCACGAGGGAACAACACATGTGAAACAATCCAAGATTGATATGCTCACAACTGAATATGAGTTCATCAAAATGAAAGATAATGAATCCATCCAAGATATGCATACTCGATTTACCTCCATCATCAATGAGCTTCACTCTATTGGTGAAAGTATTCTAAGAAACAAGCTTGTCAGAAAAATCTTTAGTGTACTACCCAATTCTTAGGAAAGCAAAGTTAACTCCATTATGGAGGCTAAGGACTTGCAGACACTGACCATGAATGAACTTGTTGGAAACTTGAAAACCTATGAAAAGTAGAAGAAGAAGAAGAAGAAGAAGAAGAAGAAGAAGAAGAAGAAGAAGAAGAAGAAGATTAAGAAGGACAATGAAAGAAGAGAGCCCAAGAGGGAGAAGAACCTTTTCCTTAAGACGGACAACAATGACTCAAGTGGTGAAGATGGGGACATGGCCTATTTGACAAGAAGATTCTTGAAGATGGTTCACAGGAATGGAGGCATTCCAAAAAGGGAAAGTTCCAGCAAGCCATGAAATTATGACCTCTATCATAAATATGGCAAGCCAAGACACTTCATCAAGGATTGCCCCCTTCTAAAGCAAGATCAGTACAATAACAACTTTGTACCATAGCAAATGTGCTAATTAATGCATACCATAGTCTTATCACTGATAAAGATGCATTAATTATGGAACAAGGAAAACCTGAACAAACTAGAGATGACTTAGTAGTCATTGTAGTCGATTTGAAAGAAACGATAAAGAACCAGAAAAAAGAAAAGAATGCCTTAGAAGAGAAAATTGTCAGTATAGAACATGAAAGAGATGATCTAATGGTTATTGTGGTGGACTTAAAAGAAACCTTTGAGTGTGCAAGTAGAGAAAAAAACCCTCATTGAGAGAGTTGATGTCGTTGAGCGAGAAAGAGATGACCTAGTAGTGGTGGTAGTAGACTTGAAAGAAACAACTGAGGAATTTAAAATGGTAAGGAAGTTGTAAGTGAGGCACATATTATGCTTGAAAATGAGTTGAATTTGGTGAAGACTAGTCTGTGTGCTAATCTTGAGAAAAATAAAAAGCTTCAGGAAGAACTAGGGAAGGTAAAGAGTGACCTTGAAAAATTGCTTAAGTGGACCTAGTTCTCTAATGCCATCACTGCCATGTAAACCAATAGCGGGGGAAATAGATAGGGTACTGGGTTTCAAAAGGAAAAGATTCCCTACAAAGTGGAAAAGTATTGTGAGATTTGTAATAACAACTTTAATTTCGTTCATAAAGATTTCTAAAATCTCTGGTCAAAGTAAGTTGCGATGTGATGGTCCAAGCCAACTCATTTTGAGGGCTCTAACATTTTAAGAGGTCGTTTGGTAGGAGGTATTAGAAAAAATAATGCAAGCATTAGCTCTACGCATTACTAATACCTTGTTTGGTACCTTTTTTTAAACTTGTGTATAACTAATACTTATATTAGTTATACATCATACTTGGCATTATCTTATGCATAAGTAATGCATAGAAAACCATGGCATTAGTAATACCAAGGCTTTAATGCATGCATTAACATGGTTAAAGACAAAATTATCCTTAAAGTCCCTTAAAGCTAGAGAATATGAAGGGCATTTTTGTAAGCAACTATTTTTTTTAAAAATTATGCAATGCTTTATAATTTTAATACACCACACCAAATAATAGATAAGAATTAATATTTGCATAACTAATACTTGCATTACTAATGCATGCATTAGTAATAGACATTATTCCACATTATTCTTATACACCCTACCAAACGACCCCTAAGTGTCCAGAGAAGCTAAAAAAGAAAAGGAACTTATATGCATGAGAAATTAGTACCTTTCTCAATACCAAAGCCATTTCTTCCCAAAATGAAACTACTCACAAACCACATTGTACAACACATGCAATGCACATATTTTTATGCAATAACTGAAAATTCCTCCTACAGTACAACTACCCATTTCCTACAGTTAGACAATCAGAACTTCTCCCCATATCCGATCACCCAACCCCGCCTTCCCCCCTCTCCGATCACACTTTTGCCCCATTCCCCACTCGACTGGCTGAATCTGTTGCATTTCTCCTCTCAGAATCTGCAAATTTGACAAAAAAATGTCACAAGGAGACACAATACCTCTTAACTCGACATCCCAACCGGACATTGATGAAATCAAAAACCTCATTTATTCCCATCCTTCTACTGTCCTTCTAGCTCGCCCTCCTTCTCCTCCTCGTGCTGCCATCCCTATTTCTTATTCTCCTTTCATGCCTTCCAATATTCGCCCTCCACCTCCCCCTACCGCCAATCAGAAGAGGACACACGTCCCTTCCGTTCCCGCTCCTCCTCCGCTGCCTTCATCAGCTCAACAGTCCAATATAGCCGCTATGGGATTCGGATCTCCGCCAAATACGCTTACGGAGCCTGTTTGGGAAAACGTCAAAATAGATCTCTCCAGAATTATTAGCAATTTGAAGTTGGTGGTTTTCCCTAATCCGTATAGAGAAGATCCGGAGAAAGCGCTTCGGGATTGGGATCTCTAGGGTCCTTTCTTCTTCATTGTCTTCCTTGGTCTCACCTTGTCCTGGTCTGCTTCTGTTAAAAAGGTAACACATCTACATTGCCATTGTTATGAACAATCACTGTTAATCCATTTGGTAATTTTCCCTTACTATATGAAGGCTCCGATTTAAATCCCTAGTTATGCCCAATTTTACATGTGTTTTGTCTGAGAAGGTACTGATATGTGTAAGCTTTCTAATATACTCCCTATATTTTGATAAAGAAAATAACAATAGGTTCATTTTAATTCGTACTACTTCAGTCCTAGTAGTTGTGATTAGATAATAGGCATGTTTTAGTTCAAGGGATTACTGTACGCTCAAATTAGATCAATAGACTCCTGTACGGGGGAATTAAAAATTAAAGCTTTAAAGATTGCGCGTGCTAGGGGAATAAAATACAAAGTGATCTATCCGCAAACGGCTCGATCAACACTTACATAGATCTAAACCATCAGTCACAAAACTTTTCATGCTACCAATCATAAGGGTTTTGGCATTTCTTTCAAAAGCAGGTGCAGAATGAATTATTAGCCCTGTCGCAGAGAAGCCAAAAAATAGGATCTCGGCAAAAAAAGAAAAGAAAAATATATATTCTAGGCATAACATGCTAGTGTGTTATTCGCCTTAAGGTTACTTTTGTTTAATAAGATGAAGAAATTCATAGGCGGAGTCATTTCTTGCGCATGAGTTGTCTGCACAAGTACACTTCCCATTGATAACCTGAAATGAATATTTGACATATGTTTTATTATCAAACATCAAACTATTAACCACAAATATAGTGATTAACATAATATCCCTACACTGTTTCTCCTCCAAGAAGCCTACATCCATTACCAACTTGGTAGGAGATAGCTGGTAATAGGTGGAATAGTTGAGGTGCATACAAGTTGGCTTGGAACCACTGTTATTAAAAAATAAAATTGGCGTTAAAGACCTTGATTGACATTTTATGCTCTAGAGGTAAGACACATGTCTCAATAGCGCCAATCAGAAACCAACACCTGTCCCTTCTATTCCCATCCCGCCTCTGCTGCCTTTATCATCAGGACAATTGAATATAGCTGCTATGGGATCTGGATCTCCTCCAATACGCTTACGGAGTCCATCTGGGACACAGTCAAAAGAGATTTATCCACAAATATTAGTGATTTGAAGCTTGTGCTCTTCCCTAATCCATATAGAGAAGATCCAGGGAAAGTGTTTCCGGTTTGGGATCTCTGGAGACATTTCTACTTCATTATCTTCCTTGGAGACCTTTCTACTTCATTGTCTTCCTTGGTCTCACTTTGTCCTGGTCCGCCTCCTTAAAGAAGGTAACTCACCTACGTTGCCAATTTTATGAACAATCACTGTTAATCCATTTAGTAGCTTTCCCTTTCTATACGAAGACTCCGATTTAAAATTTAAATCACTAGTTATGTCCAATTTTACATGTGTGTTCTGCTAGAAGGTACTCTATTATGTAAATTCTGTAAGTATAGTCACTATATTTTGGTAAAAGAAGCAAATAGGTTCAGGTGAATTGGTACTACCTCAGCCCTTTTGCATTGTTATTACAAGTTCAATGGGTTTTAGATGAATTTCATTTTCGTGATTTTGTGGGTACGTTCTTGTAGTTTTGAGGTATATAATTTGACCAATTCTAATTTACTATGGCACCAAAGAGCGTACCTATATGCTCAAATTAGAGTCTAGAGGAATAAAAAGATAATGCTTTGAAGAGTACAAGTATCAGAAGAACAAAATAAAAGTATAATCTATCCACAAACAGGTCGATCAAAACTTACATAGATCTAAAGCATCAGTCACAAAACTTTTCATACCACCAAACAAAAGTGTTCTGGCAGGTGCAAAAAAATTTCCAATGAAAAGGAGAAATTTGTGATGCCTTTTCTCTTTTTGATGAAGTTGTGATCTTCTGGTGTAATCTTCTATAGAAATTCGTGAGAGTTAATTTTACTAGTCATATTGAAGATAAACGAAATAAGAAAATCTGTAGGCTTACTCCTACTTAATAAGCTAAAGAAATTTATAGACAGAGTCATTTTCCGGTCATGAGCTGCCTGCACAAGTATGCACAAGCACATTGCCTATGGGCAACTTGAAATGAACCTTTGACATATGTTTGTTTATCAAATATCAAACTGTTAACCACATATTTTTGATGAAGTAAGTGGTATATTAATAACAAAAGCATCCAGCGGATGCAAAATTACAAAATAGGAGAAGTATCAGCTCACAATATAGACAAAAACAATCAGAGGATTATGGAGCTGATAAATTCCAAAAAGAGGTCAGGACTATATATAGGGGTATGGTAACCCAACTAAAAAGGAAAACTAAACATCTAGCCTTAAGTTGACATCTGGCAGTTGAAATACCGTCAAAGCATCTTTGATTCCTCTCAGTCCATAAGCATCACAAAATAGAAGCAGGAACCATAGACCAAATTTTCTTGATGGATTTGTCAACTTCCCAGCAGCTCCAATACACAAAGGTTTCCCTCACACTACATGGCATAGTCCAATGTAGTCCAAAAAGTGAGAGGAACATAGACCATAGGCCAGTCGCAACTGAACAATGTAGAAATAGGTGATTGATCGATTCAGAGTTGCAGAGACATATGTGACATCTGTTGGCTAATTGGAAATTCCTTCTGATGAGGTTGTCTTGAGTTAGGCAAGCGCCATGTAGAGCAGTCCAACAGAAAGCACTGATCTTTGAAGGGAGCTTCATCTTCCATATACGTTTCCACGGGCATCGATCAATCAATACTTTAATAGAGATCAGATTAAAATAACTTTCTTTGACTGAAAAAGAACCTCCCCTCTTGTTGCCCCATTTAAGTTTGTCCATAATCTGAACGTTGACTGAAGCACTTTGGAGACTACAAAGAAGAGACAACAAGTCCTCAATCTCCAAATCATTTAGGTTTCTTCTTAAGTGAGGGCACCATGAGTTCTCCACCCAATTCTGAGCAAATATAGAATCTGGGTTAGACACAAGCGAGAACATTCTTGGATAAACATTTTTTAGTATGGTAGTTCCTATCCATAAGTCCTTCCTGAATAGGATACGTTCACCATTGCTTAACTGGAGTGAAGTAGTAAGAGAGAAAAAATCCCATAATGACCTGATGCCTTTCCATAGCCCACAACCATGAGGAGTATTAGCAAAACTAGAGCACCAGTGGCTGTCACAACCATATTTGGCTTGGACTACCAAGAAGAGCCAGCAAGTCCTCAATCTCCAAAGGTTTCTTCTTAAGTGAGGGCACCATGAGTTCTCCACCCAATTCTGAGCAAATGTAGAATCTGGGTTAGACACAAGCGAGAACATTATTGGATAAGCATTTTTCAGTATGGTAGTTCCTATCCATAAGTCCTTCCAGAATAGGATACGTTCACCATTGCTTAACTAGAGTGATGTATTAAGAGAGAAACAATCTCACAATGACCTGATGCTCTTCCATAGCCCACAACCATGAGGAGTATTAGCAAAACTAGAGCACCAGTGGCTGTCGCAACCATATTTGGCTTGGACTACCTCCTCCCAAAAAGCCATTCCTTCTTTATTATACCTCCCGTGCCATTTCATAAGCATACTTTTGTTGTGTAAATCCAAATCCTTGATCCCTAGTCCCCCAAGTGACTTAGAAAGAATTACCTTAGCCCACTTCACATGGTAAAATTTATGTTTTTTACTGTTGCCCTCTTATAGGAATGAACATCTCAGTTTGTCATGCTATTTCTGAACACTAGATGGAAGTTTGAAGAGGGATATAAAGTAAGTAGGTATGCTATCCAAAACACTATTAATAAGGGTTATTCTGCCACATAGGGAGAGATGTTGCTACTGCAAGGAAGCTAATCTCTTCTCAAAATTTTCAATGATTCCATTTACAGTAGATTTCTGTCTAGTAGCCAGAGGAAGGCCTAGGTAAGTTGTCGGGAAGGACCCTATATTACAACACATAATTTCAGCCAAATCCTCTAAACCAAGAACTACATTAATATGATAAATGATGCTTTTATACATGTTAACATGTAGCCCTGACAGTGCTTCAAAAATCATCAAAGTGAGACTAAGATAATGAACTTGAGTCTTCTTAGTACCACAAAAAATAAGAGTATCATCAACAAACAGCAAATGTGAAACTGAGACTGAATGACCAGATCTATTGCCAACCCCAAAGCCCTCTAACCAGTGCAGTTGTTTGGCCTTGTTTTAGCATGTTATTGAGTCCCTCCATAGCTAGAATAAAGAGGAAGGGGAATAAAGAATCCCCTTGCCTTATTCCTCTCTTGGGAGGATAAAAAACAATCGGGCTTCTATTTACCAAAACAGTATATTTGACAGTGGAGAAGCAATATTCAATCCACTTGATCCATTTAGCACCAAATCCAATCTGATTTAGAATCGAGATGATATATTTCCAGTTGATTTTGTCAAATACCTTCTCTATATCAAGATTGAATATCAACCCAAGTTCACCACTTTTTAGCCTCCAATCTAAGGCTTCACTAGAAATAAGAGCAACATCTATTATTTGTCTACCTTTGATGAAAGCATTCTGATAGTCGGAGACCAGCTTCCCAATAACCTTTTTTAGTCTTTTAGTAAGTACCTTGGCCACTATCTTGTACATACTGCCAGTGAGACTGATAGGCCTGAAATCCTTAAGTTTGAGAGATCCTTTCTTTTAAGGAATGAGGGCAATGAGAGAAGCACTAAAGGATTTTACCATATGACAATTACTGTGAAAATGGTTGAAGGTTCCCATGATCTCCTGTTTGATAGTTTCCCAACATTTTTTATAAAATACCATTGTAAAACCATCTGGACCGGGACTTTTATTAGGGGAAGAAGACTTTATGGCATTCAAAACTTCTTCCTCATCAAAAGCAGCTTCTAATACCTCCATCGCCTCATTATTTAGATAGCCCAAGCCTTCGAAAGTAGCGTTTGGTCTCCAATCTTCATTCTCGGAGTAAATGTCCTGATAGAACTCCAAAATCACACTTTTAATTTGC